TCCTTTTTTTTTATTTTTAAAATCTGCTTTAGAAAAAATCTTTTGCAATATTTTCAATGCTGCGGTTTTTTTTTAGAAAAATAACAAAAAAAATTACATTCACAATTATTACAAAAAATAATCAATTATGTTTTTTTTATTTTTTAGCCTTATTATTTATAATAAATTATTTTTATTTATAATAAAAAGAAATTCTTTAAAAATCATTTAATGTTTATATTTTTTTAATGCAAATAATAAACTTCAGTTTGATTAAAACAATATTTTTTAGCAAAAAAAATAAGATTATAATAACAAATTATCACAAAAAGAAAATAAAAAGTTTAAAGAAAAAATTATGTACAAACGGAAATTATAGGGACATTTTTATATAATTTATTTATAAATTTATATAAAATTTATTTAATATATAAATATTATTTGACGTGAAATTTCATTAAAGTAAAAATAAAAGAGCGCGGAGATAACTTTGGTTTGACTTTGGATTTTACATGTACACGAAGTTCATGAAAGAAAAAACATTAAAGAGATAACTTTCATTTGACTTTGGATTTATGCATACGAATTTAAAAAATATTTTTTAAAAAATTTATTCTATTTAAGAAAAAAATGACATAAAATTTTTATAAAGGAATTTTTTTCTCTTTTTTTATTGAAATTTCTACATTTTTGAAAAAAATTCCCTCCTCTTCTTTTTTCGCAGGAAAGTTTATAGAAATAAATGTTTGCAAATATTGAAAAAATTTTTTTTTTAATTTAAATCCTCATTACGAATAGTTAACACTTTCGAAAACTAAAATATTTATTCGCGCGCAATATAATTGTTGTTATTGTTATTATAATTTGTTAAATACTTTGTTAAGTACAATGTACGAATGTACATTTTCTCGGAATTGAAATAATTTATTTATTAATAGATTTTATTATTAAAAAATTTATAAATCGTAAAATATTGAAAAAGAAGTAAAATATTTTATTTGTCAAAGGAAAAAAGAAATCCACCAACATCAGCACTTTTGTACAACTTTTCAGTTAATGCATTTTCAACAACTCGTAAAATATTTAAAAAATTAATATTTTTTAATCATCAAGTTGAAAAAAAAAATTGTTGAACAATATTTTTCATGATTTTTTATGAAATTAAAATAATCTATAAAATTGTGACTTGTAATATTAATTTTACAACTTCACATAATATTTGGTTTCTTACTTTTCATATATTTTTACGTTTTTTTTATTTAAAAAATAAAAATAGAAAAAAATAAATTTTTTTAAATTAATAAAATTTTATTAGGTATTTGGTTTCTTCGATTTTATTTCGTTGAAATTCATATTTATTTTTTTATATTATTTTATATACTTTTATTAATAGTGTTTTTGCATAAACTTTAATTTTTTTTTTATTAAATTTATAATTCTTTAAAAAAAGAATAGAAAAATTTAGGCGAAATTAAATAAAAACTTAAAAATGATTCCTTTCTTTATTTCTAAAATCTGCTTTAGAAAAAGTATTTTGCAATATTTTCAATGCTAGTTTTTTTAAAAAAATAACAATTAATTAACAATAATAATAATAATAATAATAATAATGAGGGTAAACTCTGTGAAGAGATACCGGGATGCACTCCCTTTGCGGAAACTTCCTGCTATCTTGGAGAGACACATCGACCTCCACGTCCGAACATGCATGTTCACGTGCCCTTGGATATCATAGACGTCGCATCAATGCTCCGGCAATGCTATAACGTCTATGTAACTAACGGAGGCGGTTCAGGGCCCATCCTGGCCAGATGGTAGTACCCTGTTTAGGCTCGATCGTTCCCTCGATACGGGGCAAAGAATAAAAAATGAAATGGATAAAGAATCAAACAAATTACTCCAAGTGGGTACCTCTGTAGAGGGTAATCCCACCACCGATTCTGATCGGGTTGAAGCCCCGGTAGTCGGTGCAGACGGCTCCAAGGATTTTGGAGGGAGCCAAAGCAAAAATTCTGAGGATGTGGGACTTAGCAGATTCGAAGAAAATGTTTTAGAACAGGTCGATCTGATCCCAAAAATACTTGACAGCATGTGGCGTGCTTGCAGGAAACAAAGAAACATTAGCAAGGATGGAATGGTGGAATTGGGGAAGGTGCACGAGGTGCTTCGCAGTAACCTGCGTTTTATACCTAGGCCCTTCATTAGCCCAAGCAATCCAAAGTCGAATCCTGAAATTCCTAGATCGATGTCGCACGCCACATCTGGCGAGAGCAAGCCCATCGACCCAAAAAAGCGCCCTAGAGAGTATGAAGGTCCGGAGACTGATTCTACTGTGACCACTCCCAAGGGTAAGAGGGTTAAGAGCAAGGAGACCAAGGCAAACCCTACTGTTATGGAGACAGAGGTGAGTAAGGCTGCTTCGGCCAGGGTTGCTTCTTATTCGGAGGCAACTGTGGTAAATAAGCCTGAAAACGAAAAAGACTTTGAAACCGTCTCCAATAGGAAACGGGAGGCCCGTAAGAGAAAGGCCTTGAAGAAAGCGGAGGAGAGGGAGCGACTTCAGAAGCGCCCCCCCATAATTAGAACAACGGAGGCAATAAAAATTGTGGCCCGGAATCCAGATACCTACCATGATCTCATAAAACTGGCAACAACTTCGGTAAAGCCAGAGGAAACTGGCACAAAGATTGTGAAAATTAGGAGAACTCTTAAAAAAGAGGTTCTTGTTGTGGTAAAAAAGGGGGGTGAAACTTCTAAGTTCGCTCAGAATCTTACCTCCGTTCTTCAGGACAAGGCCGAGGTTACGGCCCTTGTCAGCAAAAAGACCCTCGAAATTCGGGAACTTGACGAAACAACTGCAGAGGAGGACGTTTTAACCGTCTTAAAGCAGAAGTTGCAAAAGCCCGAATTGGATGTGACTTGCCGACTTCTGACACGTTTTGGTGGTACAAAAGTGGCACTAGTACGCTTGAGTGAAACCGACAGCGAGAGTCTGCTTAAGCTGGGCAAAGTGCGTATTGGTTGGATAAACGCATCCATCCGAACGCACTTAGAAGTGACAAGATGTCAAAAGTGCCTAGCCTATGGACACGTGACCCGAATTCGCAAGGGCCCCGACAGAACAAAAAACTGTCGGAGATGCGGCGAAGCGGGACACTTCTCCAAAAAGTGTACTAGTGACAAGCCAAAGTGCATAACGTGTACAGATTTGGGAAAAACGGAAGTCAACCATATCCCTGGAAGAATTTCCTGCCCGGTTTACAAGGAGGAACTGGAGAAACTTAAAAGGGCAAATCCCTAAAGCTCCTTCAAGTCAACCTGCATACAAGTAAGGATGCACAGGTGCTTTAAATTACGCGAGAACGAGGTGTGTGCATATTGCCAGTTCCCTGAGGACAACGCGGAGCACACCCTCTTCTCATGCAAGAAATGGGACTTGGAGAGGCGGGCCATGTTCGAAGGTGTAAACAGTCAAGTTACACCGGAGAACATGGTATCGCTGCAGCGATACCATGTCATCATGATGACCCAGTCAGAGGAGAATTGGCGGCAAGTCGAGAACTTCATAATCTCGGTTATGTCGAGGAAGGATCTCGACGGCCGCCAAAAAGCGTAATTTAAACAGCTTTTAATTTATTCGTTTGTTTTTTATTAATTTATTTTGTGATTTATTTGTCCTTATACAATTTTAATTTATTCCGTTTTATGTTTTTAATATTATATACGCGTTTATTATTTTTTTTTCTTTTTTTTTATATATCCGTTTGCAATTTTATCTTTTGACTGTTTACACTTGATTAAACATTTTTTTTTATTATTGTTGTGCTGTTAATTTCGCTTTTATATTGAAATAGTTTTAAATTTTTAACTATTAACGCAGGATAACCGCAGAGAAAAGCAGAAGGTCGCATTAGCGACAGAGTCGGAGCGCCACCCTCGAAGGCTAAAGTCTTACGACAGTTCCGAGGGAGGGTAAAGGGCTTCAAAAGAAGGGTTACGGGTTTTAGTGGGTCGGGCTGGTAGTAGGTCGCCAGTTTGTTAAATTTATTATAACATTTATTTATTTTTCTTTTTTTTATATTTCTTTTTGTTTTTTTATCATACCAACCCCACATAACCTTGGAGTGCGGAATCCAAGGTATCTGTAGGCAGATTTCCCAAAAGTCCCTAAGCAAAAAAAAAAAAAAAAAAAATAATAATAATAATAATAATAATAATAATAATAATAATAAATTAATAACAATTACTTTCACAATTACAAAAAATAGTAAATTATGTTTTTTTTATTTTTTATCTTTATTATTTATAATAAAAAGAAATTCTTTTAAAATCATTTAATGTTTATATTTTTTTTAATGCAAATAATAAACTTCAGTTTGATTAAAACAATATTTTTTAGCAAAAAAAAAAGATTATAATAACAAATTATCACAAAAAGAAAATAAAAAGTTTAAAGAAAAAATTAGGTACAAACGGAAATTATAGGGACATTTTTATATAATTTATTTATAAATTTATATAAAATTTATTTAATATATAAATATTATTTGACGTGAAATTTCATTAAAGTAAAAATAAAAGAGCGCGGAGATAACTTTGGTTTGACTTTGTATTTTACATGTACACGAAGTTCATGAAAGAAAAAACATTAAAGAGATAACTTTCATTTGACTTTGGATTTATGCATACGAATTTAAAAAATATTTTTTAAAAAATTTATTTTATTTAAGAAAAAAATGACATAAAATTTTTATAAAGGAATTTTTTTCTCTTTCTTTATTGAAACTACATTTTAAAAAAAAATTCCCTCCTCTTCTTTTTTCACAGGAAATTTTATAGAAATAAATGTTTGCAAATATTGAAAAAAAAAATTTTTTTTAATATAAAATTTAGAAGAAATTAGAAAAAAATATTTTTTATTTTAGACTTTTCAATTTTTTATGGGTTTTAATCGAAATTGAGAATTTTTATTATTTGGTTTAGTTTTTGCAAGGAAAATTAAAAATGAAATTTGCATTAAAAAAGAGACAATAGATTTTATTTTGAAAGAATTTTATAAATCGTATAAAATATTAAAAGGAATAATATTTTTTATTCGTCGTATGAGTAAAGAAATCGACTAACAATATCTTTCATGATTATTTCAATTGAACGTTCTGTTAATGTCGATTTTGTACCATCAGCATTATCGTACAATTTTCCAGTTAATGCATTTTCAATATCTTCTGTTTTTACATCATCAATGTTTTCTTCTGGTTTAATATTTTGAATAAACTTTTCTAAATTCCCATCAAAAACAATAAATTCAATAATATCGGTAACCTTCCTTCCAATCGTTGCAACATTCGACTCATCCTCTTTTTTTAAATTGCAATTGTTTCCTAATTTTTTTGAGAAATCAATCACAAATTGTTCACGAACTTGTCTGTTGACATAAGTGTTGTTGGAAAAATAGTCGTAAAGTGTATTTATAACTGGAATTGATTGTTGTTTTGTAGTTTCATTTAGAAAATTTTCTTGATAGAAAATATTGCCTAAAGCATTTATACAATTGACAACTGTAACTATTTGAAGAACTGGAGCTGCAGTATTGGTTGATAAATCCATTTCTGTTTTTCTTTTAGTATTTTATTTCTAGTTACTCGTCAAATTCTAGAAAACAAAAAAAAAAAAAAATAGAAAATGAATGATTTTTTACTTTATTAATTTTTTTAAATTTATATTCTTCTAATTTTATTCTCCTCACTTATACATTATTTGGTATTTTAGTTTTGAATTATTTTCCAGTTACTTATTTATATTTATTTTTTTAGCCCCTCGGTTTTTTATTTATTCTATAGTTTTTTGTTAATTTTTTAAAAATTTCTATTTATGCTTTTTTATTTTTGTTTTTTTATTTAAAAAATAAAATTTGAAAAAAGAAACTTTTAAAAGTAAATATAATACATAATTTTTATTTTTAAGGGCATTTGAACCATTATGACGTCACAATTTGTGCAAAGCACGTGTTCTAAAATTGTGACGTCATAATGGTTCAAATACCCTTAAAAAAAAAGTTAAAAATTAAATTAAAAAAAAATTAAATTTTTCTAATATTTAAAAACTATTTCTAATAATATTTAATAATAATAATAATAATAATAATAATAATAATAATAATAATAATAATAATAATAATAATATTTTTAATAGTAATAACATATCTACCTTGAATTAATACAGCATTTAATAGAACGTCTTAAAAGTAAGTAAAATTCACTTGTAATAAAAATTAACTTTTTTCTCGCCCTATTTATACCAAAAATTTTTATTTACATTTTGATTTAGAGAATTTTTAATGCGTCTAAAAAAAAATTTTTATTACTTATTGACAAAATTATTTAAATACTTTATGACATTGGCATATTTTTGGCGAGTACAAATATTACAAAATATAGACTACGCACTAGATTCATGGAAATATGTAAAAAAGAGCAATTGAGAATACTTTCATTATCTTTAAAATCTACTTTAGAAAAATAATGATGCAATATTTTCAATTTTGGTATTTTTAGAATATCATAAAAAAATTGTTTTTACAATTGCAAAAAATAATAAATATACTTTTCTATTTTTCTATTTAATATATTTAAAAAAATATTGATATAGTTATAATAAATCATTATTTATAATAAATTATTACTTATAATAAGTGGTTTATTGAGTTATAATAAATTATTATTTATTTCAAACAAGAGTTTTTCTTCAGAATCATTTAATATTTCTATTGTCTTGAATTCAAATTAAAAAGATTTATTTTATTTAAAACATTATTTTCCAAGCAAAAATTATTACAAAAGAAAATTATAGGGACAATTTTTAAGGTAGTTGAAAAAATTGTAATTCTTTTCTAATTTGAATAATGTAGCCTTAAAAATGTTTTTTAATTGAAAGGAAATAATAAATATGATAATAATTAAATAGAAGAAAGGAATTATATTAATTAGGAAAATTTCTGATTTTTTTAAAAATAAATTTATTCAAATTGATTTATTATAGATTTTCCAGCATAATTTTAATTTTCAAAAAAATTGTAACCCTATTGAGAAAATTATTCGCTTAAGTTTGTATTAGTTTTAAAAATATTATTCGCCTAAATTAGTTTAAAGAATTATCATTCGCTTAATTTTATTTTCAAGAAATATTTCGACAATCTTATTTTTAAAAAATTATTATTTCGACTTGAATTTTAAATATCAATATTTTTAGCTCTTAGAAGACTATTCTTTTTAAAATTTTAATTTCTCCCAATAAAATTTTATGGTTCAAGAAAACGTTTCATATTATCATGTACGGCCTTAAAAATGTTTCAATAATAATTTCTTCAATAACAATTACACCAGCTGCGAGATTATCTATTCTTGATTATTGAACACAATTTTCTTTAACATATTTTTTCTTTATTAATTCTAATGATTTTAATTTTAATTAATTTATTTTTATAATTAAAATTTTTTTTGTAAAATATGTTTAAAAAAATAATTTTTATGGTCTTTTTAGCATTTATATATTTATCATGTATTATTATTATAATAATATAATTATTCCGTAATAAATTATTAGAATTTTATTTAAACTTTTTTAATTTGTAATATAAGGCATCGATTTCATCATTTATTTTTTTTACATTTCAACGAAGTGTAAATAGAGTAGTATTATTATATTATTGGATATTACTGATTAGAAGAATAGTTTCATTTTATTAAATAAATATTGAAATGCTTTGAATATTATGAATATTGTATAATTTATACTGAGAAAAAAATTTATTAATTTTATGTATTAAGTTTTTATCTTATTTTCAATATAAGTTTTTACTTTATTTATATAAAAAAAATTTCAATTCACAATATAATTATTTATTAACAATCATTTTTATTTTTATAAAATAATTTTAATTCGCAAAATCTATTTATTTACAAATAATTTTTGTTTATAAATAATCTTTAATTCAGCATAATTATTTCTTCGAAAATAATTTATATAAATTAAATTTTTATCAATTTTATTTTTATTTACAGCAATAAACTTTAACAAAATATTATATTAATTTAATAAATAATTTATTTTCTGATAATAGAGTTATGTTAATAATGATTAAAAATTTTTATTATAAATAAATATAAATAATTTATTTTTTGATAAATATTGTAATGCATTTTTTGTACATTACATAAAAGTTAGAATATGCTGGGATTATAAAAAACTATACAAATTTAATATAACAACTTAACATTAAAGCAAAAATTATAATTAAATAATAAATATTTTTTATTCTAACAATTTTTTATCCTATTTTCCTTTGTCTTCATCCTAATCTCGGCTGAAAAGAGAAAGATTAAATTGTTTAATTTATTTTCAATTTAAAAAATAATTTTTTTTATTTATTTATTACAATTTAAGTACATTGTTAATTGAATAATAAAATTTTAAAATATAAGCAATAAATTTAAAAAAATTAGAAACCAAATTCTTTAAATTAAAAATTAAGTTTTTTAAGATTGTCAACAATAAATAAAGTTGTTAAAAATTTTAAATTTAAAAAAGGGTTGAAAAAGTTTTTTTTTAAATTAATTTTGGAACTTACCTTATAAAGAACCGCTTCTCTGTATATTATGATTTGACTATTTTCGAGAAATGTACTGTTTCTAATTGAAAATGCATTTATAAAACCTATGGAGATTATTACAAAAATTATAAATTTTATATTAAAAATCATTTTAGTGCTTTTTTCTTTTTTGCTGCTTAACTATTATTTATCTTTTGTTATTTCTTGAAAAGAATGAAAGTATTAAATACTCAAAACCCATCATATTTATACAAGTGTATAAATAAAGTGAAACATATAGATTGACATGTGTATCTAATTTTCTATTGTATTCAAAATTATGAAAAACTGATAATGAACTTGACTAATCATTGAACTGAACGTGACCAAAGAGTGTTATCATGTGTTTTTTTTGATGCCACACTTTTCACAATCAACTTTTTGGCTATTTGTCAAATATAATTTTTAAATAAGAGAAGAATTTCCTCAGATAATTTCTATGTACAATAATTTAACGATTTATTTATTATAGTTTATCCAGAAAGTTGCATGAAAAGTTTTATCAATTTTTTTTTCTTTCATTTCCAATAAAGTTCCGTTTCTTAAGATATATGGTTTTTCAAAAATTTTATTAAAAATTAATATCAAAGAAATTCAATTATTTCAAAAAGCCTTTCTATAATTTATTTATTAGAATTTAAGTATTATTGTCAATAAATTTTCAATTAAATTTCTTTGAAAGAATTAAATTATTTTCAAAAAATTTTAATGAAATTCTTTTTAAAACATTCAATTTTTATTCAAAATAATTTTAATAAAATTCTTCGTAGAAAATTAATTAATTTCAATAATTTATCAAAATTCAATTATTTTCAATATATATTATTTCAATAAAATTTCACAAAAGAATTAAATTATTTAAAAAGAAATATTAGGTATTAAAAAATTCGTCTCAAGAATTCAATTATTTTCAAAAGTAATAAAATTCTTCGCAGAAATTCAAATATGGTCGAAAGTTTAAAAAAATTATTGTCAAATTTTCAATTATCTTTATAAATAATAAAATGTTTCTCCAAAATTCAATTATTTTCAAAAATTTTAATAAAAAATTCTTGGCAAAATTTCAATTATTTTCAAAAACTTTTCTCAATTCAATCAAATTTTTTATAGAGATTCAATTATTTTTAATACAATTTTAATCTAATTTCTCGAAAAATGAAATTATTTAAAAAAATTTTATTGAAATTCGTCAAAAGAATTTTAATGACCTATTTAAAAATTTGTTGATAAAATTCTTTAAATGAGAGGTTAATTTTAAAAAACATTCAATTCTTCAATAAATTATTTATTTTTGTATTTAAATATTTTTGTCAATTAAAAAAATTAAATTATTTTCAAAAATTTTAATGGAAATTCTTTTTAAAAATTCAATTTTTTTTCAAAATAATTTTAATAAAATTCTTCGTAGAAATTTAATTAATTTCAATAATTTATCAAAATTCAATTATTTTCAATATCTATACTATTTCAATTAAATTTCACGAAAGAATTCAATTAGGTATTTAAAAATTCGTCTCAAGAATTCAATTATTATTTTCAAAATTATGGTCAAAAGATTAAAAAAATTATCGTCAAAATTTCAATTATCTTTATAAACAATAAAATTTTTCTCCAAAATTTGATTAAATTTTAAAAAATTTTAATAAAAATTTCTTGTCAAAATTGCAATTCTTTTTAAAAACTGTTCTCAATTCAATCAAATTTTTTACAGAGATTAATAGTTGAATTATTCTGGTAGGAATTGATTAAAAAAAAGTAGAGTTAAAATTTTAGAAAATAATTGAATATTTAGAGCGTTATAACAGAAATTTTACGAGTTAAATTAAATTTAAAAAAAAATTTTTCAAATAAATTCTTTGAAAATGTAAGAAAATCAAAAGTACAAAAATATTTAAAGTTTTATTTTAAAAAATTATAAATTACATTATTTTTCTTTAAAATTCTTAAAGTTTTTCAATAATTTTAATCAAAAATACTAAAAAAATAATTGAGTTTTGGAAGAATTACAGTTGCAATTTTTAGAAATAATTAAATTTCACGAGGTTTTTCATTGAAATTATTTAAAATTGGAATTCCTTTGGAAAAATAAATAATAATAACTAAGTTTTAAAAATTTTTTTAACAAAAAGTACCTATTGAATAATTTAATTTAGAAATTCCGAAAAAAATTTGTTTTTTGAAAAAATGTAATTAAAAATTTTTTTTTAAATGAATTGTATTTCAGAAAATAAGTTTAAAAAATTGAAACAGTATTGAAAATTTTTATCAAATTTCATTGAAATAAATTTAATATTTTAATGAATTTTATTTGTGTAACTTTCAAAAATTATTTTGAAACATAATCGTGTATTTTTAAAGAATTCTAATTAAAAATTTTGAAAAATAATTGAATTTAAAAAAAATTTTGTGAAAATTATTAAAAAAAATTTGTATGCGTTTTTTTTTTGCAAAATATATGTGCATTAAAAAATATTAGTAGAAACTTGAAACTTTTTTTTAACCTGAATAAAAATTGAGGCCTTGGATCCAATAACTCGCCCGACGCTCGGAGACTCGCGCTAATGCCAGTCGGGTAGCAGTGAGTGGCCCAGAGGCGCTCACTGCTCACTGACTGGTAGTTGCGCGTTCCTCCGAGCGTCGGGCGAGTTATTGGATCCAAGGCCTCAATTGTGTTTAACATTTAAAAAAAAAATTTCTCTTTTATTGAAAAGGTGATAAATAAATATTTCACTGTTTCATAAAACAAATCGATCAATTATTATTATCATCATCATATATTGACAGTATAAAAAAAAACAAATGTACAAACGTAACAATAAAATGGCATTACAATCTATTATCAGTAACGTACAATATGGCTTCACGCAATCAATTTGCGCAGGAATACTTTATTGCAAAAATGCATGCAATTGCAACCCTCGAAATTGTTTTTTGTTCTTTTTTTTTAATTATTTCTTCTTTACAAAAAGTACATTTAAAGTTACAAGTTTCACGTCATTTTCTCGATGCAGTTACAGTTTTCTTTTTTTTTTTGTTCTTGATATGAAAATTTCAGGCGTCAATTTTTGAATTTTTTTTTGTTCCTATTTAATTAAATATCTTAATGTAAATTTTTGTCTAAAAATTAACTATATTTATTCATTTTTTTTGTTAAATGATAAAAAAAATTAATATTTAATATTGTCAACAACAAAAAAAAATGGGGGAAAAAATAGAAAAAAAAAATTAAATACTTATAAAAAATTTGAGCTAATTATATTATTAAATAAATTACTAGAATTAAAATATACACATTTGTTTTAATTATAAAAAAAATAATTGTAAGAAAAATTGTAAAAATTAAAAATAAAATTAAAAAATTTATCTTTAATTTGATAAATTATTATTAAAAAAAAGTATTTTCTTTTTTTTTGCAAAAAAAAGAATTTTTTTTGTAAAAAAATCATTTTCTCTAAAAATACTTTAGAGTTGTAAAAAAAGTTTTTTGATATAATTTTCCAATTTTTTCTCTGTGCTGCGACGATAAATTAACGTTGCTGATATATTTTACAAACATCAGAAATATTCACTCAATCATTCTGAAAATAGTATTGTCAAAATATACACACAGTCATTATTTTTTTTTTCATCATTTTCTTTTCCTTTTAGTAGAAATAATGTACACTGGGTTGTTTTTTCTTTTTCTCACAAAAAATTTTCTGGACGATTCCACAAATTGGCGCATGACTTTTTTTCAAAAAAAAAAAAAAAAAAAAATATTTGAAAACTAATAAATAAAAATAAAATAGAAAAAACAAAATTAAAATTTAATTTTTTCGGTTTATTGAAATCTAAATTTCGAGAAAAATTTAATATTAATTAATTAAGAGAATTAAATCAATTAATAATTTTATTAATTATTAATTATGGTAATTAATTTCCATAATTAAGTAAGAAATCAAAGAATTAATTAACAAAAATTGAAAATAAATTTATTAATTAAATCGATTCAAAAAATACATAAATTATAAGAACATTAATTAAACATATTAAGTTCCAGTTAATTATTTAATTAAAGAATTAATTAACTAATAAAATTAAGTTTGAAAATAAATTTTTTGAGAAAATTAACAAATAATTAATATTAATAAAAAAAAGTTAATAATTTAAAAAAGTATTAATCGAGGTAATTAAGACAATTAATTATTATAATTTATTTAAATTGAAAGAGAAAAAAATTAATCTACAAAAAATAGTTGTAAATAGAAGAAAAATAAATACTTCCAACGAATAAAGGAATAAAAAGTTCCCTAAAGAAATTAAAAAATTTTTTTAAGTACATTAATGAAAACTTCAGTTTTCAAAAATAAAATCTAAATTTTGAAAAAAACTTCCGTTTATTCTTTCTGTGTTTTTTTATTTTATTAACAAATTTTCTATTTTTATGTTCATTTTTTTCTCTCAATTTTTTTCTTTTCCATTTAGTTTTCTTTTCATCTTTTTTTTCAAGTCAATTTTTTAGTTTTTAAATATTTTTTCCATTCAAAACACTATATTTTATTTACAATTTATTTAATTTTCTTTCTTTTTTCTTTCTTCTTCATAGAATACAAAATATTAAATGAAGAAAAAGAAACAAAATTAAAAAGGATAAAAAAATAACATAAAAATATTTTTTTAATTTAAAAAAAAATGTGTAACAAAATTATATACAAAAATGTTTTTTAAAAAAACAACAAATAATTGCCAAAAAAAAAAATAAAAATAAATAAAAATAATTGACCATAAAAATAAGAATAAAAGAAAAGAATAAAGAAAAGAATAAAAGTGAAAATAATAAAAATGAAAATAAATATAAATAAATGAAAAAAAATTAAATAAAAATAAAAACAATAGAATTTAAATGAGAAAAAAATTGTCAAGCGCAATATTGTAGAAAAATGGCACCAGCGGACGGGAAAAATCTCGAAAAAACATTTTTTTTTAAATCACCACATAAATCGAGTTTTTACAATATTATTATAATATTATTATTATTTTGTTGAATTATTTTTGAAAAAATGTCCCTAAAACTCGTTGTGGAATAAAAATAATAAAAATAGTGAGAGAAAGATAGGGGGAGAGGGGTGATTTTGGCGTGGGGTAAAAGTGGCTTTAGGGGGTGTCGTAGGCAACAACATTTAGTAATCAATGTTAATTAAATAACATTAGATGTAAATTATCTTTTTCTTTCACTTTTTTTTTCAACAATGATAAATAGCTGCCTCAAGCTGCCAATAATTTGAAAATCTTAGTTGACTAGTGATTTGGGCTCGCGCTCGATTTTTTCGAGTTAGGCCGCAATTTTTTTTTTTCTAATTTTCATTCTTTTTTTTTTAATTTTCTTGGTCCACTGTGTAGGGTCCAAAGAAAAAAAAATTTTTTTTTTATTCTTCCATTGGAAGAAATACGTATAGACAATATTGTATATATATATTTTTTTTTTTCAAAACCACAGTGGTTGTTGTTTTCGTTTCTCTTAAATACGTTCAAATTTACAATATTTTCAATATTGTTGTCAATTTTTTTTTTTTTTGAATATTTAACACGATCATAATATTAATAATAATTATAATTTATAATAATAATAATATTAAATTGCTAAAAGTTCTTTTTAATTTACAAGTCTTTGATGAGGACACGTGGCACTTGATGGGAAACTGTATTGAAAAAGAGTTTTCAAAATATTGACGTTTGCTATGTCATTACAGTGTCTGTGAGATCGTCCTTAAGCCATTGGGGTGTTTTTTGACCGAGACGTTTTAACAGTTTCACCAGAGCCGTGTTGTGCGACAGATAATATCTCTGGAAAATGAGAAAAACAAAAAAAAAATTAATTTTGATAAAAAAAAAATTTCGGGAAATGTATTTTTTAATTTTAATTTTTAAATTTATTATTTTACTGTTGCAAGAGAAGTTGAAATCAGAAATAAAAAGTAGAAAGAATAATCTTAGTAGTACTAGTACTAGGGTGCAAGGAAGTAGAAAGTAGTAAATCAATACTTGGATGTGGGAAGTAGAAATTTCAGAACTAGGTAGTTAAATGTAGAAATTTTTTGCTATTGGAATAGAAGTTGAAATAAGAACTAGAATGTAGAAAGTAGAATCTTAGTAATAGAAAATAGAACTTAGAAGTAGAAAGTAGATACTTAGAACTAGAAAGTAAACAGTATAAATTAAATACTAGAAAGTAGAAAGAGAATAAATACTAGGAAGTAGAAAGTACATATTATGGGATGAAAGTAGACATTAAGTACCATAAGATAGAGTATAGAAAAAAATACAAGGTAGTAAGATAAAAACATAATTGTAATAATAGTTTTATTTACCTAGTATTTAATTTCTACTTTCGACCTCCTAGTAGTGATAAATACTAGGAAGTAGTAACAAGAAACAATATAATGTTTCTACTTTCTACTATTTATTTTCTAATCGCTTTCTACTAATGTTTGATGTCAGTTTCCATTTTCTCAATGTATATTTCTACTTTCTACATCCTAGTATTTAATTTCTAAACACTTTCTACTAATGTTTAATGTTCATTTGCACCTCCTTAATGTATATTTCTACTTTCTATCTCCTAGTATTTAATTTCTATTTCTAGATCCTAGCATTTAGTTTCTCCTAGTGGAGGAGGTGTCAAAATAAGAACTAGGAAGTAGAAAGTAAAAACAGAACAAGGAAGTAGAAAGTAGAAATTAAATACTGAAAAGTAGGAAGGGAATAAATAGTAGAGAGTAGAAAGTATATATTACGGTGGTTAGGATAGACATTAAGTATTAGTAGGTAGTGTAGAAAATAAATTACAGGGAGTAAGATAAAAAAATGTATGTCGTAATGGTTATAGTAACCTAGTATTAAATTTCTACTTTCTATATTCGCCAGTAGTAATGAATACTAGGGGGTAGCAACAAGAAATTACATCTTGTTTTTTGTTTCCTGTACTTATTTTCTAAACACTTTCTACTAATGTATAATGTACGTTTCCCCCTCCGTAATACATAATTTCTACTTTCTACCTCCTAGTGTTTAATTTCTATTGTCTAGATCTTAGTATTTACTTCTTCCTAGTAGCTATCCAAAAATATGATTATCATACTTCACAACGGTGAGAGTAGTCATTACATTCTAGTAGGTAAAAAGTAGAAACTAAATACTAGGAAGGAGAAAAAAGTTCGACTAGAAAGCAGAAAGTATTAGGAAGCAGAAAATATTAAATTTATACTAGGATGTAGAAAGTAGAAATTTGAGTGTTAGGTGGTTAAAAGTAGAAACTTACAATTAGGAAGTAGAGAATAGAAAATAAATACTAGGAGGAAGAAAGTAGAAACGCTGTACTAGGAGGTGAAAGGTAGAAAGTAAGTACTAGATTCTTGTAAGTAGAAACCAAAATTGGATGTAGAAAGTATAAATTCGATTACTAGATACTTCAAAATAGAATCTTAATACTAGGGGTAGATACTGGGAACTAAATAATATAGAGAGTTTAAAAAAAAACTTTCAACTAAGGTCTTGAAAGTAGAAACTTAATAGTGAGAGATATAAACAAAAAAATTTCACTACTAAGCAGTAAAAAGAATGTAGAAAGTAGAAACGTATACTAGGATGTAGAAACAAGAAATCATATTTAACAGAAGTAAAAGTAGTACTTAAAAATTTGTAGGTTGAAAGTAGAAATAAAATGCTAAATATTAGGGTGCTTAAAGTAGAAACAAAGTACTAGGAAAAAAGTAGAAACTTAATAATAGCATCCAGAAACCAGAAATTCAATACTAGGATTTAAGAAGTATAGAAACTTAATACTATCATATGGTAAGTAAACATTTCAGTTCTACGTAGTCAAATATAGAAGTTTAATACTAGTAGGAAGAAAATTAACACTATAAGGAGTAGAAAGTAGAACATCAACACTATAAGGGGTAGAAAGTAGAAATTCAGTACTTGGAGGTAAAAAGTAGAAAGCATGTAAGTACTAGAAACTTGAGAGTAGAAATTTAAAACTGGATGTAAAAAATGTAAATTTTAGTACTAGTAAGTAGAAAGTAAAAATTATTCATTGCAGGGTGAAATGTAGAAAGTAAATACGAGGGACTGGAAAGAAGAAACATTCAACTAACTGGAGAGAAGAATTTTAACATAAGATAATCGAATGTAGAAAATTATTGCTAACAATTAGAAAGAAGAAACTGAAACTAAATACTAGAGAACAGAAAGTAGAAACTGTTAGATAGCTGAAAGTAGATAAAATGTAGAAAGTAGAATGTTAATTTCAAGAAGTAGAAATTAGAGTTTTTAATCTACTAAGTAGAAAGCAGATTGTTACTTCTACAAAGTAGAATGTTAATTCCACAAAGTAGGAAGTATTGTGTTCATTCTCAAAAAGGAAAAAGTAGAATGCTAATTCTAAGAAGTAGAAAGTAGATTGTTAATATTAGAAAGTAGAAAGTAGAATTTTCATTCCAAGGAGTAGAAATTAAAATGTTAATTCTAAGAAGTAGAAAGTAGATTTTTAATATTAGGAAGTAGAAAGTAAAATTTTCATTCCAAGGAGTAGAAAGTAGAATGTTAATTCTAAGAAGTAGAAAGTAGAATTTTCATTCCAAGGACCATAAGGTAGAATTAACCATAAGGTTAATTCTAAGAAGTAGAAAGTAGAATTTTCATTCCAAGGACCATAAGGTAGAATGTTAATTTTAAGAAGTAGAAAGTAGAATGTTAATTCTAAGAAGTAGAAAGTAGATTGTTAATTTTAGGAAGTAGAAAGTAGAATTTTCATTCCAAGGAGTAGAAAGTAGAATGTTAATTCTAACAAGAAGAAAGTAGAATGTTAATTCTAAGAAGTAGAAAGTAGATTGTTAATTTTAGGAAGTAGAAAGTAGAATTTTCATCGCAAGGAGTAGAAAGTAGAACGTTAATTCTAAGAAGTATAAAGGAGAATGTTCATTCCTAGGTGTAGAAAGTAGAATGTTAATTTTAAGAAGTGGAAAGTAGATTGTTAATTCTAAGAAGAAAGTAGAATGTTAATTCTAAGTAGAATGTTAATTTTAAGTAGAATGTAATTCTAAGTAGAATGTTAATTCTAAGAAGTAGAAAGTAGTTTGTTAATTTTACAAAGTAGAAAGTAGAATTTTCATTCCAAGGAGTAGAAAGTAGAATGTTAATTCTATGAAGTAGAAAGTAGATTGTTAATTTTAGGAAGTAGAAAGTAGAATTTTCATTTCAAGGAGTAGAAAGTAGAATGTTAATTCTAAGAAGTAGAAAGTAGATTGTTAATTTTAGGAAGTAGAAAGTAGAATTTTCATCGCAAGGAGTAGAAAGTAGAATGTTAATTCTAAAAAGTATAAAAGAGAATGTTCATTCCTAGGCGTAGAAAGTAGAATGTTAATTCTAAGAAGTGGAAAGTAGATTGTTAATTCGAAGAAGAAAGTAGAATGTTAATTCTAAGTAGAATGTTAATTGTAAATAAAATGTTAATTCTAAGAAGTAGAAAGTAGATTGTTAATTTTATTAAGTAGAAAGTAGAATTTTCATTCCAAGGAGTAGAAAGTAGAATGTTAATTCTAAGAAGTAGAAAGTAGATTGTTAATTTTAGGAAGTAGAAAGTAGAATTTTCATAGCAAGGAGTAGAAAGTAGAATGTTAATTCTCAGTAGAATATTAATTCTAAGAAGTAGAATGTAGTTTGTTAATTTTAGGAAGTAGAAAGTTGAATTTTCATAGCAAGGAGTAGAAAGTAGAATGTTAATTCTCAGTAGAATATTAATTCTAAGAAGTAGAATGTAGTTTGTTAATTTTATGAAGTAGAAAGTAGAATATTAATTCTAAGAAGTAGAAAGTAGAATGTTAATTTCTAATAAATAGAATGTAGAATGTCAATTCTAGGAAGTAGAAATTAGATAGTTAATTTTAGGAAGTAGAAAATAGAATTTTTATTCCAAGGAGAAGAAAGTAGAATCAATACATTAATTTACTAGTACCTGGACAGTAGAAATTAAATACCAGGCAGTTAAAAATACAAATTTCATTGCAAGAGTGTAGAAAGTAGAAAATAAATACTAGAAAATAAAAATTCAGGGGCTGGATGCTATAATGTGTTACGCGCCATGTTAAGTAAATGGCGCGTAACACGCTTTTATAGGATTTAACCCCTTAATTGTAGAAAATAAATACTAGAAATGTAGAAATTGAAGAGAGAGTTTACAATATTCAATTACCTGCAACAATTTGTACGATCTATCCTCCATTGGAGGATACTGTCGGCCTTTACTTTTGCCAAGGCACTTGGTGCGATCCTCATTCGTCACCTGACAAAAAAATCCCTTTTTCGGATCGTATCGCAGATGCGTTGAATAATTAAAGGCCGGCGTTATTTTAAGAAACTTTTGCAATTCATGCAATGTTTCAACTGGATTTTGTCTCAATTGCTCGCCATCAATTATATGTAACTGCTGCGGCGAATAATACGAGAGCCATCTCTCTAAATGCTGCGCATATTTTCCCGGATTCAAACACCTTAAATTAAATGTGAAAAGTTAATTAAAAAAATTTTATTTTTTCCTGAAAATTTAAACAAATAAATAAAATAACATATTAACATTAACTTATAATTTATTAAATTTCGACTATAAACTGAATTCAATATGAGTATTGAAAAGTAAATGACTATCAAAATTTCATTGAGAACTATTCCTAAAACCGTATTAAATTTATTAAATGAAATATTATTGTTATTAATTATTAATATTAAATTAAAATAATTAAATATTATGAAATTCATTCATTTTGCAGATTTATATCCAATGCTATTATCACTTTAGGAAGTAAAATTATTACCGACGGAAGATTACCGACAGCTGATCAACGAAAGCTCTCAATAATCATCAGTCGGTAAGTCAGAAGTCTGAAATAACATTGTCATAATCAAAGTTCCAAAAAATGTTTTCTTGACCCAGAGAATAAAATTTTGGTTACAAATTCATATTATTTTTTTAATATCTCACTTTTTTTCTTCATAAAATTTATTATATTTAATTTTTTTCTTAATTTTATAACAACATACCTATTTCGAAGATCCCTTAGTGGTTTTGGCGCTGTGTCACTTGCCATTATAACCGAATGAAATGAATAATTTTTTGCCACAGGATCGCCATGAACTTTTGTATGTTGATACCATGAGTATGCACGTCTTGCTGGCGATAATAAAATTGTTATTAATTTTGCTTTTGGTAATAGTGCGTGTGCACGTCTTGGCACTAATTCACCATCGAAATATGTCGCTGATTTTTCAAATAAATAACGTGAACTTTCATTTTTCATTGCTGGAAAGAAGCTCATGTACCAATCGAGGCCCTTGTAATAATTTTTACCATTAAAAAATTGTATCTCCTCAAATGTATCGGGACTCGGTAAATTACTGCTTATTGCCGGATGAATCGATAGGAATGTATAGAGTGCAGTTGTCCCCGTTTTTTGTGGTCCAATCACTAAAAATCTTGGCAATTGATCGCAAGTCTTATTTCTTGACCATATTTTCTGATGCCTCAAATCATCACAAGGATTCTGCAAAAAAAAAAAAAAAAAATGAAGAGGGAGGGAAAACAATTAATTATATTTTTTAAAAATTAAATATTAATAAAATAATTTATTTTTTAAAGAAAAAATAGAATTAGAACGATGAGGAATTTTCTGAAGTGTAATAATATGTAATAACGTGTAATAAAGTGTAATAATTTGTAATAAGGGGTAATAATTGGTAATACCGTGTAATAATGTAAACACTTTCTACTTTATGCTTTTTACTTTCTACATCAGGTTCCACCTTTTTTTTCCATCTTATTTATATTTTTTTACTTCCCGTTTCCAACTACTTCTCTTGCTTAAATCTACTGTATACTTTCTACTTTCTACTTCCTAATAACTATTTTCTTTACTTCATTCATATCCTATAATTACATTTTATTGCATCTTCTTGTACTTAATACTACATGCTTTTTACTTTCTACAATCTACTTTCTATTTTCTAATCCTTACTGTTTACTTTTAACGCTTAATACTACAAATACTTTCTATAAATCCTTTTCTTAGCACTCTTTCTACTTTTTACTACATATGTTTTTCACTTTCTATACGTTTCTACTTTCTACTCATTGGGCTTTTACTTAATGAATTTCACTTTCTACTTTCTACTTTGTTACTTTCAACATTTTACTTAATATATACTACATACACTTTTACTTCCACATTGTACTATTTTTTATAATTTCTACTTTCTACTTCCATTCCTTTCTACTTTCTCATTTTTACTTCATGCATTCTATGTCTAATTATTATTGCCCCTACTTTCTACTTTCAAGTTTCTGCTATCAAATTCAAACTTTCTAGAAAGCAGAATGTTAATTCAAATAAGTAGAAAATATAGTGTTAATTCTAGTGTTAATTCTAAAAAGTATAAAATGGAATGTTAATTTTAGAAAGTAGAAATTACAGTTTTTATTCTACGAAGTAGAAAGCAGGATGTTAATTCTAAGAAGTAGCAAAAAGAATATTAATTCTAAAAAGTATAAAATAAAATGTTAATTATAAGAAGTATAAAGTAGAATGTTAATACTAATAAGGAGAAATTAGAGTTTTTATTCTACGAAGTAGAAAGAAAAATGTTAATTCCACAAAGGAGTAAGTAAACTGTTCATTTTATGGAGTACAAAAAAGAATATTAATTCTAAGAAGTAGAAAGTATAGTCTTAATTCTAAGAAGTATAAAGTGGAATGTTAATTCTAGGAAGTAAAAATTATAGTTTTTATTCTATGAAGTAGAAAGCAGAATGTAATGCTACAAAGTAAAAAGTAGAATGTTAATTCTAAAAAGTAGAAAATAGAATGTTAATTTTAAGTAGAAAGTAGAAAGATAATTTTAAGAAGTAGAGAGTAAAATTTTCATTTCAAGGAGTAGAAAGTAGAATGTAAATTCTAAGAAATAGAAATAAGTTTTTTAATTCTACGAAGTAGAAAGCATAATTCTAATTCTACAAAGTAGAAAGTAGAATGTTAATTTTAAGTAGAAAGTAGAATGATAATTTTAAGAAGTAGAGAGTAAAATTTTCATTTCAAGGAGTAGAAAGTAGAATGTAAATTCTAAGAAATAGAAATAAGTGTTTTAATTCTACGAAGTAGAAAGCATAATTCTAATTCTACAAAGTAGAAAGTAGAATGTTAATTCTAAGAAGTAGAAATAAGAATTTTTTATTCTACGAAGTAGAAAGCAGAATGTTAATTCTACAAAGTAGAAAGTAGAATGTTAATTATAAAAAGAATAAAATAGAATGTTTATTCTAAGAAGTCTAAAGCAGAATGTTAATTTTGGAAGAAGTAGAATGTTAATTCTAAGTAGAAAGTTGGATGTTAATTCTAAGAAGTAGAAAGAAATATATTAATTCTTAAAAGTAGAATGTAGAATGTTAATTCTACAATGTGGAAAGCAGATTATTAATTCTACAAAGTAGAAAGTAGAATGTTAATTCTAGGAAGTAGAAATTAGAGTTTTTATTCTACAAAATAGAAAGCAGAATGTTAATTCTAAGAAGTAGAAAGAAGAATATTAATTCTGAGAAGTATAAAATAGAATGTTAATTATTAGAAGTATAAAGTAGAATGTTAATACTAATAAGTACAAATTAGAGTTTTTATTCTACGAAGAAGAAAGAAAAATGTTAATTCTACAAAGTATTAAGTAGAATGTTAATTTTATGGAGTAGAAAGCATAATTATAATTCTACAAAGTAGAAAGTAGAATGCTAATTTAAAGACGTAAAAAACAGAATGTTAATTCTAAGAAGTAGAAAATATAGTGATAACTTTAAGAAGTCTAAAACAGAGTGTTCATTCTTAGAAGTAGAAAGTAGTAGAATGCTAATTCTAAGAAGTAGAAAGAAGAATATTAATTCTTAAAAGTAGAATGTAGAATGTTAATTATGCGATGTAGAAAGCAAATTGTTAATTCTAAGAAGTAGAAAGAAGAATATCAATTTTAAGAAGTAGAAAGTAGACTGTTTATTCTAAGAAGTATAGAGTAGAATGTTAATACTAAGAAGTAGAAAAAAGAATATTAATTTTAAGAAGTATAAAATAGAATGTTAATTCTATGAAGTATAAAGTAGAATGTTTATTATAAGAAGTATAAAATAGAATGTTTATTCTACGAAGTCGAAAGCAGAATGTTAATTCTACAAAGTAGAAAGTAGAATGTTAATTATAAGAAGTATAAAATAGAATGTTAATTTTAAGAAGTAGAATGTTAATTCTAAATAGAAAGAAGAATAATAATTCTCAAAAGTAGAATGTTAATTCTAAGAAGGAGAAATAAGAGTTTTTATTCTACGAAGTAGAAAGCAGAATGTTAATTTTACAAAGTAGAAAGTAAAATGTTAATTCTAAGAAGTTTAAAGCAGAATTTTAATTATAAGAAGCAGAAATTATAGTTTTAATTTTATGAAGTAGAAAGCAGAGTGTCCATTCTAGAAAGTAGAGTGTTAATTTCAAGAAGCAGAAAGAAGAATATTAATTCTAAGAAGTATCAAGAAGAATGTTAATTCTATGAAGTAGAAATTAGAGTTTTTATTCTACGTAGTAGAAAGCAGAATGTTAATAATTCTACAAAGTAGAAAGTAGAATGTTAATTATAAGAAGTATAAAATAGAATGTTAATTCTAAGAAGTAGAAAGTAGAATGTGAATTCTAAAGAGTAGAAAGTAGAATCAATATTTAAATTTACTAGTAGTTGAAAAGTAGATATTAAATACTAGGTAGTTAAAAATTCAAATTTAAATACGAGTGCGTAGAAAGTAGAAAATAAATACTAGGTACATAGTTAAAAGTAGAAACTGTAAATAAAATTTTCTTTTAATTTCAGAAAATTTTTTGACAAGTTGCAGCAATTTGTTATGCAAGCATGTGAAGATTGCATTGTAAGCTTTGCCGTAAGCTTAAATGCTAATTGGGAACTATTGTAAATTGTATATATGTAATAAATCCTAATAATTTCGTGTAATAAGTGTGTAATAAAAATTTGTGTTTTTAAAATATTTTCATTCCTCTTCTAAAAGCAAGTAATTTTTTCCTCAATTTTTTTTCAAAATAAATAAATAAGTAAAATCCTAAGGCAATTCGTTTTATTTATTCATGAAAAGACTTACTCCCCAGACGGGATCCGCTTCCTCCGGATATAATTGAAAATATCTCTCGCCAAGTAAAAGAGGCGGCGCACTCGATAGTCGTAGATTCGTCCAGCATTGAATGAATTTGATCACCGATTCAAATGTATAAAGTGCGAGTCTATCGTTTCCATAATTTGACATATGTGTCATAAAAATATTAATCTATTTAAGAAAAAAAAGAGAAAAAGCAAATTAGAAAGTTTACAAATTTTGCCATTGTAGACACACTAAAAAAAAATGAATATAATTCACTCACCGGATTGTAAACAATTGTTTGAAAAAGTTCACCACCCTGTATTGATTCATCCAATTTGTCCCTGCCACCGGGATATCTCTCGATGAATATTGTGTGCGTAAATAAACCGCAAGTTTGTCGTGGCAACACCTGGGAAAAAATTGCAAAAATTTTAATTTTCAAATAAATATATTCAATAAATTTTTAATGGAGAAATATTTTTATTTCGAATTTAATTTTTTTGTTTTTTTTTTAAATGTATTTTTTCCTTTAGTACCATAATGTTGCGGTGAACGAAACCACGTCTAAGACGAGCTGGCCTCAGATGTGGATATTCCTCAGTGCTGGTGGCTTTTATGTTCCAGACTTTTTTCCACGCCTCATAGAGTCCCTCGTGAACGGGATAGACACCCGAGTGATGTGGACTTACACTGTAACCACTTCCAGTTGGTATGCCATGATCCTTGGCAAATTGTTTATTTAAAGCCATGTCCAATTGTAGATGCGTTACATTTTCATAGAGATGTGGCTGTTGATGATTCCACATGTGGGAAAACCATGTAAATCTATAAAAGTGAAGAGGGAAAAGTTAAATAAATTTTTTAATGAATGTTAAAAAAGACGTGAGTCTCACACTGGGTCTCACAGACCCGAAATTTAAAGCTTTGATTCAATAATATTCTTTCGATGACTATACATTTAGGAATTATTAATTTTTACTCAATTTGTACAAAATAAAAAACGGAAGCAAAGTTGTTGCAAAGATTTTTTTATTTTTTCCATCCTAATCCTTTCAATATTCAATTATAATCTAAAATTTTAACTGAAATTCATTTTGAAATCAATATTTATTAGAAAATTCTACGAGAATTCAATTATTTAAATATTTATTTTAAATATTTATTGGAAAATTAAATTTGTTTCTTAACATTGAATTCTTATAAAGAATTTCATCAACAAATTTTAAAATAATTCAATTCCTAAGAAGAATTTTATTTTTTAAGAAAATAATTGAATTACTGCGAAGAATTTTATTAAAATATTTGTAAATAATTGAATTCCTGTTAAATTTTTATTATTTATGAAAATAATTAAATGTTTGCTTAGAATTTTATCAATATTTTTTAAAAATAAATTTAATTCTTTTAGAAAATTTTATTAAAATAATAGATATTGAAAATCATTAAATTCAGGAAAATTTTTGAAAATAATTGAATTTCTGCAATCGTTTGTAACTTCTCAAAAATGCAATTTTTTTTAGTGTTTCTAATTAAAATTCTTTTAAAAAATCCATTAATTTTAATAATTTTTGATAACAAATTTTTTGCCAATTTTTAAATTTATTGCTTTACAAATTCAATTTTACAGAATTGTTATAGTTAAAAATATGAAAAATTCAGATTTTCAAAGATTTTAATTTGAAATATTTTTAAAATTCAATTATTTCTAAAAATTGACGCTCTATTGCTTTTAAAATTCAATAATAATGTAAAATTTTAACTGAAATTCATTTTTAAATCAATTTTTATTATAAAATTCTACAAGAATTCAATTATTTAAATATTTATTTTAAATATTTATTGGAAAATTAAATGTTTCTTAACATTGAATTCTTATAAAGAATTTCATCAACAAATTTTGAAATAATTGAATTCCTAAGAAGAATTTTATTTTTTATGAAAATAATTGAATTACTGCGAAGAATTTTATTAAAAAATTTGTAAATAATTGAATTCCTGTGAAATTTTTATTATTTATGAAAATAATTAAATGTTTGCTTTGAATTTTATCAACATTTTTTTTTTTTTAATAAATTTAATTCGTTTAGAAAATGTTATTAAAATAATAGATATTAAAAACCATTAAATTCAGGAAAATTTTTTGAAAATAATGAATTTCTGCAATCGTTTGTAACTTCTCAAAAATGCAATTTCTTCTAGTGTTTCTAATTAAAATTCTTCTATAAATCAATTATTTTTAATAATTTTTGATAAAAAATTTTTTGCCAATTTTTAAATTTATTGCCTTACAAATTCAATTTTACAGAATTGTTATAGTTAAAAATATTAAAAATCCAGATTTTCAAAGATTTTAATTTGAAATATTTTCAAAATTCAATTATTTCTAAAAATTGACGCTCTATTGCTTTTAAAATTCAATTATAATCTAAAATTTTATCTGAAATCCATTTTTAAATCAATTTTTCTTATAAAATTCTACGAGAATTCAATTATTTAAATACAAAAAATAATTTATTGTATATTTGAATATTTTTTAAAATTGAATTCTCATAAAGAATTTTATCAACAATGTTTTAAATAATTGAATTCTCTTGACAAATTTTAATAAATTTTTTAAGAATAATTTCATTTCTCGAGAAATTTGATAAAAATTGTCTTAAAAATAATTGAAATTCTGACCAAAATTTTATTAAAGTTAAAAATAATTGAATTTTGGAGAAAAATTTTATTATTTATGTAAATAATTGTAATTTTGACTAGAATTTTTGTAAATTTTTGAAAATAATTGAATTTTTGCGAAGAATTATATATAACTTACGAAAATAATGGAATTCATGCGACGAATTTTACTAAAAAAAATTATTTTTTAATAATTGAATTCTTTTGTGAAATTTTATTGAAATAGTATAGACATTTAAAATAATTGAATTTTGACAAATTTTTGAAATTATTTAACTTTCTAGGAAGAATTTTATTAAAATTATTTTGAAACAAATTTAATTGTTACAAAGAATTTCATTTAAATTTTTGAAAATAATTGAATTCTTTGAAAAAATTTCTAATTAAAAAATGTATTGAAAATATAGGCAAAGGTTTTTTTTTTAAATAATTGAATTTCTTTGATAAATTTTAATAAAATTTTTAAGAAGGTAATTACATTTTTCGTTTCGTTTCCCTCAGATTAGAGAATTAGTAAAATTAAAAAAAAAAATACTTCTTTTATATGTAGAAAAAATCTAATAATATTTATTTACCTGTCGACATTCTCGAGGAGCATATCGTCTCCCAAATTCTCCTCGGACGTCCCGTGATGAAAGTACTTTCCGGAAAACCCCAAATTAAATTTAAAACCAGGCACCAATGCCTGTACACGTTGCTGCGTGGCGAGTAATGCCAGAACGTCATCTTTCTTCAGTCTTGTGCCTTTTTCGCCCACAAAAATGTCATCAACATCGACTAGGATCATTCGATTCAAACTCAAACTCAACTGTCCGTGCGATAAGAACGACAACGAGTCGAGGAGCAGGAGTTTGTGTAGCCAAAATCGTAAGCTGCCACCAAATAATACACGTTGAATACCATCGTGTCTTCCATGATCCTGAAAATTACAAAATGTGATAAAATTTTCTTTTCTAGAGCCAAACAAATTTTTTAATGTAAAAAGAAGTAAGAAAAATTAAAAATTTTTGAAAACTTTTAAATATGTTATCTCAGTTAATTGTTATAAACTAATGATCTTCATTAATGTTTCTAATTTTAGAAATAGATAAATAAAAAATGAAAGTTTAACTTCACATGGTCTGAACCAACTGTAAAATTAAGTTAAGCGTTAAAGTTACCAAAATCACTAATCAAGATTTTCTTGGAGTCACTGATTTCGAAGTCAACGTCAGTTTTAAAAATTTCAAAATGGCGGACGAGTTTTTTAAAAATCGATCGCATTCGCCTCAAAATTGTTACTCGAGGGTTTTAGAGGTTACTGATTACGAATCCGATGTCAGATTTCGAAAATTCAAAATGGTGGCTCTGTTTTTTTAAATCAAAAAAACTACCCTTAAATGTACAAAATCAAAATTTAAAGTAAAAAAAAATTAAATAACATATTATTTTTTTAAAACTGAACAATAAATTTATGTACTTCTCTCACAACAACTCAAAAACACCCCAAATTTTTGTTTAAATTAAATAAAACTACCCTTAAGAGGATAAACTCATACTTGACAGGAAAAAAAAAATTAAAGCATTTGTTTCTGTATTTTTATTTTAACGACTCAAAAAACCATCAGAATTGCTTCATCACCCTCCAATTTTTTTATATAAAAAAATACCCTTAAAATAAAAAAACCCAGAGTCTAATAGAAAAAAAATGGCAAAAAATTAATCTTTTAAACAGAACCAAACGTTTCTGTATTTTTGTTCTTACAACTAGAAAGTAATGACAGAATTAAATCACTACCCTCTACTTTTTCTTAAATCGAAAAAATTACCCTTATATGGATAAACTCAGACTTTAAAGGAAAAAAAAAATGTTAAATGACTTTTTTAAAAGAATCATTTAAAACCATTTATGTAGGATTTGGTTTCATTGTTTACCGCTCAATGACAATCATGTAATCTTAGGATTTCTTTGAATAAACTATTTTAATTTTATCCACTTGTGTCCTGACTAAATTTTCTATATTTATTTCTATATCTTTATTATTTTCCAACGAGCGGTTGTAGTGGATTTCGTTTTCTTTTTCGTTTATCTGTCTTTATTTTTCTCTTTTAAAACAAAATAAAATTTTTTTTTTTTAATTTCCGTCTGAAAAATTACGAATTTCACCACTTTAAGGAAAGTTTTTTTTTCCAATTTAAACAAAAACTAATGGTGACGTTTTAATTCTGACGATGATTTTGAGCTTTTCAAAGAAAAATACAGAAATGTGTGCTTCCATAAAGAAATTAATCTTTTTTCTCATTTTTCCTGTAAGGGTTAGTTTTTTTTAATTTTAACAAAAACAAGGGATGATGTTTTCATTCAGACATTGTTTTTGAGTTGTTGAAAAAGAAATATATAAGTTTATTGTTCTGTTTTAAAAAAACATTCTATTGTCTCATTTTTTTTACTATAAAGTTTGGATTTTTACATTTAAGGGTGTTTTTTTTCCATTTAAAAAAAGAAAGGGTGAGGGAGTAATTCTATAACAATGTTTTTGAGTTGTTGTAAGAGAAATTGTTCTGTTTTGCAACAGAATCTGTTTTAAATTTTTTTTGAAATTTTGCAACACAATCTGTTATTTAATTTTTTTACTTTAAACTTTGAATTTGTACATTTAAGGGTAGTTTTTTCGATTTAAAAAAAATAGAGGGTGATGGAGCACTTTTGACTTCATATTGATTTACAGCGGGCAAAAATACTGTAAGACACGTAGGTCTGGTTTAATAATTAGACCACTTTTTTTTGTGCCTGTGTTATAAACCTGAAGACACATTTCAAAATTCAAAATGGCGGATGCAATATGGTGGACAAGAATTTTTAAAAACTTGGATTCTTATGAAACTTGGTATCTAGGGGTTTTTGGGGTCGCTGATTATGAATCTGAAGTCAGATTTTCAAAATTCAAAATGGCGGATGCAATATGGTGGACAAGAATTTTTAAAAACTTGGATTCTTATGAAACTTGGTATCTAGGGATTTTTGGGGTCGCTGATTATGAATCTGAAGTCAGATTTTCAAAATTCAAAATGGCGGATGCAATATGGTGGACAAGAATTTTTAAAAACTTGGATTCTTATGAAACTTGGTATCTAGGGATTTTTGGGGTCGCTGATTATGAATCTGAAGTCAGATTTTCAAAATTCAAAATGGCGGATCCAATATGGTGGACATTTTTTAAAAATTGCTTAAATATTAGCAGAAAACTTGTTACTCGGGGGTTTTCGAGGTCGTTGATAACGAGATGCAGTCAGATTTTCAAAATTCAAAATGGCGGATCCAATATGGCGGACATTTTTTCAAAATTGCTCATACATTAGCAGAAAACTTGTTACTCGGGGGTTTTCGAGGTCGCTGATAACGATCTGCAGTCAGATTTTCAAAATTCAAAATGGCGGATCTAATATGGCGGACGAGAATTTAAAAAAACGGTTGGATTTTTATGAAAATTGGTGAGCAGCGGTTTCTCCGGTTCCTGCCACTTTTTTTGTGCGACTGTATTTACTGTAAGTTAGGCATTTTTTAAAAAATTATTACGCATTATAAAACGATTTCTCAAGTTTTTACCACCCAAGTTTCTACGTGCTACTGCTTAAAGTTCCCTTTTTCTTTGTCGAGACTTTTCCACATCACGAAACCGACCACGTGAGTAAAAGTATAACACTAAAATGAGTACTCATTCTTTTCTCTGGTAAGCAGTTATTTGTTGGCTTGCAATTTTTCTCCAAAGTGATGGTGGTGCATATTTTCTCTCTCTGTCTTACTATATTCTTCTTTTTTTTTTTCGCCCAGCAAAATGGAGGGCAAAAAGGGAGCTTTGTTGAAAAACGAGAGTCAGAGTTGTTGGAAGGAAGTGAGACTCCGGAGAATGAGTGTTTTTGGGGTGATATAAGGTAAAGGAGTGAGTGAGTGAGAGTGGGTGGATAGGGGGTGTCGGACTCGGTTGGTTGAAATAAAACAAATGAGGAATTTCCGCGAGTGCGCTACATTTTATGTTGAGAAGGTATATAGTATTTCTATGTGTATAGGAACGAAACAAGGATAATGGAATTGGGAATAGGGTAAAAGAGAGTGAGAGGGATGATGTGTGCGAGGCGACACATAACGGGGGAAAAACAATTCCTAGAAAACCCCTTTTGCCTTCACTCTCATACACTTACATATACACACATACATTTACATTTAGTTTGGAATTTTGTGATTGCAAGATTCCTTCAAGGCGCGAGAGAGAGAGGGCTTTTCTTTAGGTTAACATCACGAATATACGGAGAGCGTCGATTCGTGGAATTTTAAGGTACATTCAAGTTAAGGGGGAAGGATGAGGGGTGATCCAAGATAATGTATTTTAGTCATGTATATGTGTAGAAAATAGGTCATGCTTCTAATTTTGATCTTTTGAATACGATCCCGGGTCACAAAATTGTCTGTAAGTCATGATTTTGAGAAAAGTGGGGGAAAATACCCCCAAAAAACATATTTTTTAAAAATTTCAAGTTATATTTTTCTGTTGTTGTTGTTATCGGAGTGTTCTCAAATGTATTTCGATCTTCTGAATACGATCCAAAAAAAATGCCTACAACGTCATGATTTAGAAAAAAGAAGAGGCAAAGACCCAAAAACCGGTTCTTTTGCGAAATTTTCGATTTATAATTTTTTGCCTTTGTTATCGTAGTGGTTTTCAATGAATTTTGATCCTCTGAGTGTGATCCCGGGTCTAAAAAATGCCTTCCACGTCATGATTTTGAAAAAAGTGGGGATAAACAGTAAAACCCCGAAAAACGTGTTTATTGGGATTTTCAAGTTATATTTTTTTGCTGTTGATATTGCGGTGATTTTCATTGTATTTTGATCCTATGAATGAGTTCCTGGTCCTAAAATTACCTTCTATGTCATTATTTTGAGAAAAAGTGGGGGTAAAACCCAAAAAACGTGTTTTTTTGAAATTTTAAGTTGATTTTTTTATTTTTTATATGGGAGTGGTTTCCAATGTATTTTGATCTTCTGAATACGATCCCGGGTCATAAAGTTGTCAATCACGTCATGATTTCGAGAAAAGTGGGGTAAAACCCCCCAAAAACGGTTTTTTAAAAAAATTTTCTCCTTATATTGTTTCAATTTTATTATCGGAGTGGTTTTCACTGTACTGACATCCTCTGAAAACGATCCCAGGTCCCAAAATTGCCTACCACGTCATAATTTTCAAAAAAGCGGGGGTAAAGACCCTCAAAAAACCGTGTTTTTCCCCATCTTTACCTCCACTCTTTCCATAATCCTCTTTTTTTTTGGTTAGAAATTTTTTTTTAATGTTAAAAGTAAACTTCAGTAATATTATCGTTTGCATAAAAATAGTTGATGATTAAAAAAAAGAGAAAATAGAGAAATGTGTGTCTATAATTTTATTTAACGTAAAAAGTATATTTATCCGTTTGTCAGTAGAATAATGAAGTTTCGAAAGTGCGAACACATAGTACATATAAATAGTAGATGGAGGAAAAAAAAACAAATAAACGAACAATGTCACACCGAGAATAATGGGATTTTTTTTTTTTTTTGGTGATGGAGAAAGGGAGGGGAGTGGGACAATCCCATCAATTAACAGTGTAACTCTTAATTGGCTTTTATCAAACTCCAACGCGCAAAGAGGCCAAAAACGTAATCGAATATCGACTCCTCCAATTACTATACGTTATTGGTTATTTTTTATTCTCTCTCGCTCTCTTTCTTTGATAAAATCTCATGAGAGAAACAAAATTTCAAAAAAAAAAAAAAAATCTGTAAAATAAATCTTCCTCTCACTATGAAAGAAAAAGAAAAGGAAATTGAAAAACAGGAAATAAAAACGACAGAACATTGTGAGAATTATGCATCAATCAACGTAATTAATAGCTTACTAATTAAATTTTGAAATTTAATTAACAGTCATTAAAATTTCACGTTAAGAGACAATAGGAAGAGATTGAGAGAAATTCGTGCTTTTTAAAATAACTCCAATTATAATAAAATACAGGTAAAAATAAAAATTCCAAAGAGCGTTTAAATTCTTTTAATTTCAAATGCTTTCAATTTTTTTAAATTAATTAATATTTAAAAATAGTTTAATATTCAATTCACTTTTTTTTATTTTAATTTTAATTTTTATATTTAAATTATTTAATAGAAACTTGCATTTATAAATTTTTTCTTTTTTTTAATAAATTTTCTTATATCAATTTTTTTTATAGAAACTTTCTTGCAGAAATTTTTTTCAAGGAATTCTTTTTTACAAACTTCGTTTTTTAATATTTTTTTTATATATTATATAAAAATTTTTTTTGTAAATTTTTTACCTGAATAACAGTGGCGAGGGGACTTTTATCGTTTGGATCATTGAGACTGTCTCGATGAGCCCAGGCCAAAGGCTCGTACGTGCTGTGATTCGGTTGGAAAATTGTCCAGTCACCACCAGGAAGTGGTCCCCAAGCAGTTTCGCCAGCTCTCGTCAATCTCAGAATAGGCGATGCAGCATTCAACTGGGCATCCTGCAAAAAAAAAAAATAAAATAAAAAGAAAGTTCCTTTTTTTCGTCATGTGACTTTGTCACAGTAGCAATGCAATAAAAAAAGAAATGAAGAAAAAAAAATTGGAAAATAGAGAAGAGAAAAGAATATAAAGTGGAAATTGTTCGCTAGTTGAACAGTGGATCAATTACAGAAATGTTCCAATTTCCTAAATATAGATAAAGAGAAATTTTTTATTATAGGTACTTTTTGAGAATTTTAAATTCTATGTATACTGTTTTCTACTTTCTACATCTTATTTCAGCTTTTTATTTGCGATTCCTTCTGTTCTGTTTTATTCTTTTTTTTTAAATTTTGTTCTCTATATAGTTAACATTTTACTTTCTACACTCTAGTTTCTATTTTCTACTTTCTACTTTATACTATTAAATAATGCTTATTAATTAAAAAATTAATACAAGAAGTAGATTTTACTTTTTGTTTGTTATTGTTAACTTGGAATTTTTAACTCCCTACTATTTAATTTCTATTTTACATTTTCTACATTTTGCATTTTATTTTTGCTTTCTACTTTCTATACTTTCAGCAGGCTAAATTTCATATTTTTTAATTGGTCACTTCCTATTTGTTACTCTTTTTAGCTTTTCTTGTATTTCCAACCACCTAATTTCCATTTTCTACTTCTACTTTTTACTTCCTAATTTCCATTTTCTACTTCCTACTATTTCTTTCTAATTTCTACTTCCTACTTTTTACTTCATAATTTCCATTTTCTACTTCCTACTTTTTCTTTCTACTTTCTATTTTCTACTTCCTACTTTTTACTTCCTAATTTCCATTTTCTACTTCTACTTTTTCTTTCTACTTTCTATTTTCTACTTCCTAATTTCCATTTTTTACTTCCTACCTTTTCCTTCTATTTTCTATCTTCTACTTCCTACTTTTTACTTCCTAATTTCCATTTTCTACTTATACTTTTTTTTCTACTTTCTATTTCCTACTTTTTACTTCCTAATTTCCATATTCTACTTCTACTTTTTCTTTCTACTTTCTATTTACTACTTCCTAATTTCCATTTTTTACTTCCTACCTTTTCCTTCTACTTTCTATCTTCTACTTCCTACTTTTTACTTCCTAATTTCCATTTTCTACTTCTACTTTTTTCTACTTTCTATTTCCTACTTTTTACTTCCTAATTTCCATATTCTACTTCTACTTTTTCTTTCTACTTTCTATTTACTACTTCCTAATTTCCATTTTTTACTTCCTACCTTTTCCTTCTACTTTCTATCTTCTACTTCCTACTTTTTACTTCCTCATTTCCATTTTCTACTTCTACTTTTTTTCTACTTTCTATTTCCTACTTTTTACTTCCTAATAACCATTTTTTTCTTCCTACTTTTTTCTACTTTCTATTTTCTACTTCCTCTTTTTTACTTCCTAATTTCTATTTTCTACTTTTACTTTATATTTTCTACTTCTTATTTTTAACTTTTTTCACTTTTCTACTTTTTACTCCCTAATTTCCATTGTCTACTTCTACTTTTTCTTTCTACTTTCTATTTTCTACTTCCTATTTTTTTTTAGTTTTTTCACTTTTCTACTTTCTACTACTATCTTGCTTTATTAAATTCTACGTCTTATTTTGAACCTTCAGTTTTTTACTTTCTACACTTCTACTTTGTCTTTAACATTCTTCTTCCTATTTTCTAGTTACTGTTTCCTGTTTTCTACTCTTCACTAGTGACTTCTTACTTTCTGTTAAATTTTCTACTTTTCATTTTCTACTTCCAGCTTTATACTGGCAAAATTCCATTTTTACTTTCTACTCTCCATTTTTACTTTCTACTTTCAATTTTCTACTTTCTACTTTCCATTTTCTACTTCTCACTTTTACTTTCTACTTCATGCTTTTTTACTTCCTGCATTCCATTATTTACTTTCTATTATTTACCTTCTACTATTCATTTTCTTGTTCATGCTTTCTACTCTCTACAAATATCTTTCTACTTCTACTGGTAAATGTTTTACTACATACTTTTTACTTTCTACTTTCTACTTTGAAACTCTTTCTTTTTTATTTTCTACAACCTATTAACTTTATACATCTTGATTTCTACTTCGACTATCTACTTCTTGCTTCAATTTTCCTGTAATTTTTCCCCCAATTTTCTACCTACTTTCTACTAGTAATCAAGAATTAAAAAATGAAAAGTTGATAGTAGAAAGTAGAAAATTTAGAGTAGAAAGTAAAATATCAGGAAGTATAAATTTACTAGTAGAAAGTAGAAAGTCAATAGTAAGGAATTAATAAAAATAGCAAGAAGAAAGTGAATAGTAATTAATTAATAAAAATAGAAAATAGAAAGTAGAAAAACAAAAAGTAAGGAGTAGGTGGAAATATAAAGTAGGGAAGTAGAAGGTGGAAAGGTTAATGAGAGTAGAAACTAGAAGTAGAAAGAAACAAATTAAAAAATATGACAGTAAATAGAAAGTCAAATTTGTGTTTTTCAAAAATTCGAAAAGTTAGAGCAAAGTAAAGAGTAGAATATGAAGAAAAGAAAAAAAGTAGAAAAATGTAAATAAACATTAAGTAATCAATTTAATTCTACCATAGCACTAAATGTAACTTTAATGGCGAATCAGTGAAGCGTATCGCATTAAATTTTCAAACTTTTCATTTACGTCAGTCGCATTATAGACTTCCCCCCCCCTCTTCAACTTGTGATTTTATCTAAAATTGCCAATTTGCAAATTTGCACCCGTATGCACTTTATACGTGTACACTAATTCGTCATAAATTTCTTTTTTTCTATTAAAAGCTGATAAAGCGAATTTTCTATCAAAATTTAAAAAAAAAAAATCCTACGAACAGAAAAATTTTTATTATCTTTTTTCTCCCAAAAAAAAAAAAAATTTTTGAAACAACATTTTTGTCAATTAGAATTATAATTTTATATCAAGTTGACATTTTTTAATTTTTATAATAATAAAAGTCATTAATTTACAAAATTAAATATTTTTACGCTTTTTTAACTAAAGAAAAAAGAAAACGAACCTTAAGTCTGAGATTTGTGTGTATAAAAAGTGGAAAGCCCTTGAGTTGGGCGCCAACAAGACTCTCCTCTCCTGGTGGTGCAAATCCAACAATACCAACTGAGTATTCCCGGCAATATTTATCGAGTAGCTCACGATTCCATTTGTCCATTTGAAGATATTTGTTCAAGTTTTCAAACACCAACACCCCATATCTTCCCTTGTCAAGATTCGTTAGAACTGGCAATGATTTACCGGCGACTTCAACTTTGTACCTGTAATAATAAAAATAATAATAATGGTAAATTTCTCTCTCACAAGCGGTGAAAAAATAAACAATTATTTCTCTCTCACAAGTGGTAGACATTTACCCTAAAAAAACAAAAAAAAATAATTTCTTAATAAAACCTCGCAATCAATAGCGCTAATTTGAAAAAATTTGTTCTCTCACAAGCGGTAGAAAGAATTACGTAATTATCATTTATCATCTCTAATAAATAATGTAAAAATAGACCTTTACTTCAAAAAAGAAAAAAAACGATTGTCTCAATAAAATCTTGCAATTAATAGCGCTAATTTGAAACAATTAGTGCTCTCACAAGTGGTAAAAAAATGTTAGAAATTTATTAAAAATCCCCCCCTACAAGTGTCGTAAAAAATGACCTTAAATGACTAAAGTATTTCTCTCGCAAGCAATACAGAAAATAAGTGTAAAATTACACCTACATAGAAAGAAAAAATTTAATTAAATTACTTAATTCGTAGAAATTTAAGAAAGACAATTTATTTTAATTAATTAGTCAGGATAATAAATTATATCGTTTTAAATTTAACGTTTCTTGTGCTCACTAAAAAAGTTTTTCTAAGGAGAGAAGTTTTTTTTCACCTCTTTTTTTTTACCTAAAATGAATTCTGTATTCTGGAAGGGTAATCAATCTTGGTTTGTTTCATTCTCAAGTTGGGCGGGTCTCTTGCACTTTGGTCGCAAATAACGAAAAGACGCTTTTCCATGGTGAAAACAGAGAGAAAGAGAGAGAAGAGAGAGAAAGAAAAGAGGTTTGTAAAAAAAAGTGCAAAGAAAACCAAACTGTTGAAAGCTCTGCTTTTCGAGAATAAGGATTGAAATAACCGTTGTTTTTCCTCCCCGTTGGGACTAAGTAAACACAATTTTCCTGGTCACTCTCTCTCTCTCTCTCTCTCTCTCTCTCTCTCTTCTGTCCAGAGAAGTCATTTTAAGTGCAGACGTTGGCAAAAAGAAAAATTTTATATAAACTTTGCCAATGAAAAAAAATTTTTTTTCTTTCTTTCTTTCAGAATGAAATTGAAAAATTTTTTTTCTACAAACAGTAAATTTTGTTCACAAAAAAAGTAATTGTGTTTTAGAAGAATTTTACTGTTTTATAATAATTGCAATTATTAATCAAGGTTTTTTTTACCACTTGTGAGAGAGAAATTGTATACATTTCTCTCTCACAAGTGGTAAAAAAAACCTCACCCGTTATCCAGTTTTTTATGTTAGAGCGTATCAAAAATAGACCTTTATTAATTCTCTAACAAGCAATGAAAATGAAAATAATTTCTCTCTCACAAGTAGTAGAAAGAATTTCGTAATTATCAGTTTGTCTCTTTTATAAATAATGTAAAAATAGACGGTTACTCTAAAAGAACAGAAAAAACGATTGTCTTAATAAAACGTCGTAAGCAATAGTACTAATTTGAAAAAATCGATTTTCTCACAAGCGGTAGAAAGAATTTCGTAATTGTCATTTACCCTCTCTTATAAATAATTTTAAAATAGACCTTTACTCTAAAAGAACAAAAAAAAACAAATTTCTCAATAAAACCTCGTAATCAATAGCGCTAATTCGAAAAAATCGATTCTCTCACAAGCGGTAGACAAAATTTCGTAATTTTCATTTCGTCTCTCTTAAAAATAATGTAAAAATAGACCTTTCCTCTAAAAAAAACGAAAAATACACTTTCTGAATAATCCCTCATCTTGAAAAGCTACTTTGAAAACTTTTTTTTTCTCACAAGTGGTTGAAAAATAGTTAATAACTCTAAATACCTTGTAATTCCAGGAACAAACCTTAATACTTAGTAATTAATTAAGATATTACAGTTTTATTAAATCTTAAATTATCACACTTTGTGTCTTTTTGTTTCTATTTTACTTTTGCTTTTTCTAAAAAAAGAAACAAATAATTATGGTCAAAAGTTTTCATATTCATCTATATATACGTATATATATTCAACGTCACTCCCGTTATAATTTCTGTACAACTCAAACAAAAGGATCTCCGCCCGTCTTTTTTCCCTAACGCCAGAGGGCAATACTCTTAATATAGAAAAAAGAAAAAGAAGGAAAAAAAAAATTCCTAGAGATTTTCCCTTTTTCTTTTTGTTTTCAATGCAAACATCTCATCTCCTTTCAAAAGATAATCAATTCTCCGACGAATCCGCTTTTATTAAAAACTTTTTATCTTTTCTTTTACATTAAATATAAATTAAAAAGTTTCAATATAAAGTACATAAAGTATTTTTTTTTGCATATAGAAAACACAAAACCAAGATCTCATTGTTAGTGCATTATTAACCTCTATAAAGAACAATTTAATTTTCCTTTAAATACATTTTTTCTTCTCTTCATTTTTCTCTAATTCCTCTCATCTTCTTTTTTCTTTTCATCATTCTTTTCTGTATTTATTTAAAGGGGGAATTTTTTTTTAATTAAATTAAAATATAGAAGTTTTTATTTTTTTCGTAAAATAAATAAATTGTGGAGGGAATCAACTATAAGATTGTTAACTTTTTTTGTAAATTTTTATTTTTTACTTCTTTTTATTTTTATTTTATTTTATATATTTTATATATTTTATATATTTTATATATCTGAAACTTTAAATGAAATTAATTTTTAAATCAATTTTTATTAGAAAATTCTACGAGAATTAAATTATTAAAATACAAACATAGATAATTTATTGAATAATAATTCAATGTTTCTTAAAATTGAATTCTTACATAATTTTAATAAACAAATTTTTAAATAATTGAATTCTTTCGACGAACTTTAATAAAATTTTTAACAATTTTTGAAAATAATTGAAATTTTGCTATGAATTTTATTAAAATTTTTGAAAATAATTGAATTCTATTACTCTTGAAAGTTTTGATTTTTTTGAAAAAAAAAAAATTATGGAAATTTTATTTTAAATAAAATTGAATTTCTGTGTATTTTGTATTTTTTTGAAAAATAATTGATTGTCCGTATGGAATTTTATTAAAATTTTTGTTTAATAATTGAATTCTTTTGTAAAATTTTATTAAAATAGTAAAATATTTAAAATAATTGAATTAAGAAAAATTTTTGAAAATAATTGAATTTCATTACTTTTGAAAATAATTGAATTTTATTACTTTTCAAAATAATTGAATTCTTCTGATAAATACTATTATTTATTAAATAAAATAATTGAATTTTGTAATGAATTTAATTAAAATTCCTAAAAATAATTGAATTTTGTCGAAGAATTTTGCTATTCACTTATAAAGATAATTGAAATTTTGACGATAATTCTTTTTATTTTTTTTTTAAAGTAATTGAATTTCTCAGAAGAATTATATTAATTTTGAAAATAATTGAATTTTACAATGAATTTTATTACAATTCCTGAAAGTAATTTAATTTCTCAGAAGAATTTTACTAATTTTGAAAATAATTGAATTCTTGTGATGAATACTATTATTTATGAAAGTAATTGAATTTTTCTATGAATGTTATTATAATTCCTGAAAATAATTGAATTTTGTCGAAGAATTTTGCTATTCATTTATAATGATAATTGAAATGTTGAAAACAATTTTTTTTTAGATTTTTTAAAAATAATTGAATTTTTGCGAAGAATTTTCATAATTCTGAAAATAATTGAATTCTCGTGATGAATACTATTATTTATGAAAATAATTGAATTTTGCAATGAATTTTATTAAAATTCCTGAATATAATTGAATTTCGGCGAATAAATTTGCTATTTATGAAGATAATTGAAATATTGATCAGAATTTTTTTTAATTTTTGAAAATAATTGAATTTCTGGAGAGAATTTTGATATTTAGTAAGATAGTTGAATTCTTTCCCTAATAATATTAATAATTCTGCAATAATTGTGTAATAATAGTGTAATAATAGCGTATTAACAGTGTAGTAACTGCACTTTTTTTAAAACTGAAAATTTCCCCTCGAAGTAAATAAATTTCGTCTATTTTGAATATTTCCAAAAGAAATGCAGAAGAATAGAGAAAAAAATTAAATGAAGAGAGAGAGAGAGAGAGAGAGAGAGAGGGGGGGGGAGGATGCGGTATTGCCGGAAAGAGGATTACAATTCTTTTTTTCCGCCTCCCAATAAATCCGGAAACTTGGGCTGGTTGCCTTTACGGTTGCGACATCGTTGTGCTAGCAGCGACCTACCCTTTTTGTCTCATCTCCCCCGGTTACCCTTTGTGGTCCTTCTGGCTCACTGAGTCCTGAAAATACATTAGTATTCTAAACTCGATTCAAGAGACTTTATTCCAACAATAAAATTCTTTATCACCGGCATACAAAGATTGATCAACTCTCATTTCCCTTAAATACAACTTTAAGTTATTACACGACTAATTTAACTCCTGTATTTACCTCTTCTTTTTTCTTTCTTTTTAAGAAATAAAACTCTCTCTTACAAGCGGTGAGAAAGTAAATAATTTCTTTCTCTTAAATTGGAGGGTAAAAGAATTGTAATTATCAGCAACACTCTTTCTCTGTCTATTCCTCTTTCTCAGTCCTTTACAAATTGTGATGTTGAGGTTTTGAAATCTCTCTCACAAGCGGTGAAAAATGGATATAATTTCTCTCTCACAAGTGGTGAAAATTCGAATGATTTTTTCTTTTAGAAACGATGAAAAAGTAAACTTATTATGATGGTGAAAAGATCGTAATTATCAACAGGTTCATATTATAAGCGGTGGAAGAGTCAACGATATCTCTCTCACAAGTGGTGAAGAAGTGGAAGAATTTCTCTCTCACAAGCGGTAGAAATTGAACCGCAATTGTCATTTAGTTTATTTCATAATCAAAGTGAAAATCGACCTTCAAAATCTCTCACTAGTGCTGAAGAAGTAAATAACATTTCTTTCTCACAAGCGTTAAAAGAGTTCATAATTTCTCTCTTACGAGTCTCTTAAAAATAATACAAAAATTAACCTTTTCCCTAAAGGAACAAAATAAACGAATTTC